GAAAGAAGATGCCAACTTACAACAGGACTCAAGTGAGCAGAGCAATACTACCTGCTTCCTTCTGGGGGCACTCTGCCTATAGTTTCACACAAAATCAGGTCTGACCGTAAAAGGAAAGTCGTTGATACATAAAAGTAACCAAATCTCTCGGCTATGCACTCCAAGGAGAGGAACGCTATTATACACATATTCCACAAATAATTTACTCTGGAAATCACAATTCCATTTCCCTCACGCAGAAATATACTCAAACAGCTCACATTCCAGCACAGCCTCCTTGTACACACTGCTGCATCCAGCACATCACCAACCAGGAACAGCTCTACGGATGAAACTTGGTAAGTACTATGAGGTAACTACAGCCTACTGGTTAAAGCTAGCAATCCTTTTTAAAACAGATTCCCATTAAAATCCATAATAGCTTAAAAGACTACAGGACTAGGTCAGAGCCTAGCAGAGTATTTCTTGAGATAGCACAGGGAAACTCAATGAAATTAGTTTGAAGCTTAACTCATCACTGAAGAGCTTCACATCTGAGTGCCAACCACTGTCCTGCACTTTATATACCACATCTTGCAAGGCCCAGTGCAATCCATTAAGCACAGAGAAGCTCTTATTTTTACAGGAATTCAGTTTGACTCTTCAGGAAAGAATATACATAAAACTGTCTATAAGAGCCTGGCCCCCAGAACTGTACAGCTGCCAGTAATTCCAAAAGGAATGAATCCGACCTTTTAACTCAGCTACGTGAAATGAAGAGTCAGCCTTAAAACTGCCAAGCTCATTATTCCCCATGTTTGTCACAGAAAGGACCAGGGCAAAATGTATTAATCTAGCCTCTGCTTATTTGACCAGCTCCTGACTAACCTGATCGAAGCTGCAAGCTTAACAGGTGACAGTGGCTCTAGCAACCGAGTGTCTCCTAGAAAAACAGACATCAAAATATTAGCTGGTCATCCCACTGCAAGACCTATTCTGTGTAAACACTGAATGGAAATAACACTGAGTAGCATGAGGTTAACACAAAAACTGAAGCTTTTGCCATGAGCTTCAGATACTGCCTGTAATTGCCCCCAGTCCCACCCCCCCAACAGAACATGCAAAACCTTCATTAACAGAAGAGGCTCAGCTTCTAAATAAATTCCAGTGCTGATTTTCTGTTGCCAACACTTGAGCCTGGAAAATCATCAAATGCCAGTTGCAGCCATGGAGTATGCAAAAGAAAATCTCCAGCCATGAGGAAGGTTTCACATCTTCCCTGCTTATCAAAGTAGTTAGTGGTATATTTCCTTTTGTCAAAAGAACATTTGTTCAACACAAACAACAGAACCAACAGTACCATCTGGTAAAAGCGTGAAATATCTATACATTTTCAAGTGACCTAGAGAATACATATGCATTATTTTTAGTGGAATTGTCATACAAACAGCTACAGACAGACCACATCGAAGAACAGCATAGTAAGGATGCATGAAGTATAGCATAAGGCACAACGGGAGCGTGCAAAGGGTGTGTTTATTGCAATTTCTGCCTAAGGAGATTGGAAGGATGAGGACCTCAGCAGCTTCCAAGATCATTCAACATTCTTGTACTTTGTGAACAGGTTGTATAGAACCCTGAGGGTAGACTTCAGATCCAAGTTGACAACATCTGTGAAGGAAAAGGAGAAATCCTTAATTTGCTTTTCGTTCTCCCTCATTTGTCCTCAAAGGAACAAAAGTCCCCACATCTCTGAGTCAGTGGAATCAGCAACAAAAAAATACATAAAGTTCTGATCTCTCTATCAAGCTTTTTAAATGTCTCATATGACACATTTCAAAACAGCTTCATGGTAATACAGTAATAGCTAACTTCTTTGGGAAACAGAGAAAGATAATTCCCTAACTCGTCAAAAATCGGTTACAGAGAAAGTCTACTTCTGTATGAGACCTGAGTTAAAGGTTTTGGGATGATGACTTCATTGGCCACAGAAGCAGCGAACAAGTAGCCACACATCATATGAGATACTGAATCTCACACATCCACAACTCAGATTAGAAATAAACAAAGCCTGAATTCTCTTCGCAGACTCAAAACTTTCTGTTATCCAATATCCCTTCTTACCATGTTAGGCCAGGGAACAGATCTGAAAATTCTCAACAAGAAGTTTTGCTGCTAGCACCTCCCAACCTATCACTGTAAGAAAATGCCACGAAATACCAGACATGTAATCCAGGGACTACAAGGGAAAGCATAGTACAGACAAGGCTGAAGAGGTGGAAAGAAAGGTTGGATATAATGTGTAAGAAATAAGGAGGAGGAAACAAATAATATACAGTAAACAATATATATGGAAACAGAAGTAAGGAAGAACAGATAATTTAAAATTGTTCAAAGAACTAGGAAGACAGCAAACAGTTAAATGACTAAATACAAGTAATGTGAGGTCCAGGGGAAACACCTACTGCCTGTTTTGAAGAGTCATTGCCAGGATCTCTCCACCCTTCCCTCCCACCCCATGCTGGATAACACTCCAACTCCCATTCTTGATCAGGTATTTTCAGTAACCTCTCAGACTTTCCTTTTTGCCCTTTTTCCTGTATTATTTTACATATTTCATCTATGATTTTGTATTTCGCATTTGCAAAACAATCTTCACCGGCCCCAAAGAAAGTAAAGACCCTAACTACTGTGAAGTAGCATACCCTGAAAAAAGAGATGTCTTACCTGGCTAACTGAAATAGGAAACATATTTCTAATTTTTACAGGTATCTTATAAAGTTGCTTACTATCACAGCACTCTCAGGAAGGTAATGGCCAGAATTAGCATTGGTTTCTCTGTACCAAGAACCAGCTTCCTCAGAAATGGGTTTAAAATGTAAATTTAGCCTTGGAAAACAACACCGTGCAACAGATATGCTCTTCTGAAACTGGCAAATCAAGGCAAATATCTGGAGAAGAGACAACTACCAGCAGATTTGACCCACTGATGCTGGCAGTCACTTTTGTTTGTTAAATAATTAAACAAAATAGTGCTGGCACTATGAAAATGCAAAAAAAAATTTAAAAATTGCCCAAACAGTCAGCTCTGTAGCTATCACAGATTTCTACTGTATATTTGCCCCATTCCTGCCAAATGGTCTTTTCCCCACACCACCCATTTTCAGCTTTCCACAGGACGGGTCTTTTCCCTGAGCCACTGTAAGCTCCACCTCAGCGGACACAGTGTGAAGAGGCGTGATCAAGTCTTGCAGGGTTTGGCCCCTGCTTCCAGCAAAAAACAGTTCAGAGGCAGGAACTGCCCACGCTATCAACCGCCATCAAGGTGCCAGTGAAGAGAAAAATAAATCTGGAGGGGAGAGAAGAAACATTGCTGGAAGCTGGGAGCACAGCTAGGGAACGAGGGTGCATCCTCATGGAGGCATTTAAGGCTGGCTCCTACTAATCTCCACCAGCAATTTGAGCCAGGTAACTGCTCAGGATCACCTCTGGTGATTACTCTGAGGAATGAGAGGTATGGGAGGCCCCATCACTAAAAGAAGGGACAGACTCTTTTACTTGGTAGTGTAATGATATGTCAATTTAGGGTCAGAAGAAACTACCGCCGTCACACAGTCTGATCTCACGTGCAACACAGTCCTTAGATATCTTTGCCTTAGAAATCTTATATTGAGCTTACAAACCAACTTGTAGTTGAATTAAAATGTAAGCTTAACATTGCATGTTTTCCTTTTCTGTTTTTAATTTTCCACTGGCAGAAGTTCTGCCTCCATCTCTTGACAATTCAGACCTATGGTTAATTACCTTCACTGTTGCAAAAGTTATACTGTAATTCTAGTTTGACATTTTCCTAACTTTTAGACCTTCCTATGCCTTTGCTTGCTGCATTAAAGAGTACAGTTGTGTAAGATGCATCACACTAATTAAACAAGATGTCTTTCTTGCAAGCACTGCAGAAAGCATGAGCTATAGAACTAGAAATCGTGGTGTTCTGCTCTAGACAGTGTTTTACATGAAAATCCCACAACTAATTCAAGAGGCATTTATCACCCACTTCATGCTAAAGGACAGGTTTTCCAGCCTATTTAGGAACAAACAACAGATTGGTATGGCACTAAGAGAATATACTGTATGCCTTCAGAGTCTAGGGCAAAACGAAACCCTGTTCTAAGAGACGTGTATCACATGACTGCACTGACCATCACAATCCTACAGAGGATTCGACAAGACAAGCAATGCCCGAGATGTTACCATCCTCTCCACTGGAGCAGCTTTTCAAGACCAAGTCAGTTTTACAGGCAACTCCAGCCACACAGACACCACACGAGCACACTCCCTCCCACAGCTGTGAACTACTGCTGCCAGGAACAGGTTAACACACAGGAGAGGAAGGAATACACACGAGAGACCATGCATCCTGCAGCTGCGAAAAGAAATAAGCTACTTTGGCTCTCTAACTCCTATTAATAACTAAAATTTTCAATCAGTAAAACATTTACACATATTCTGCTGCTTACTGAATCGACACATCTTGTTCAGAGCAAACAGAAGATCTGCTAGAGTGTTCTACCGCTCATGACAGCATAAGGATATAAGACAGCCTTATGTGAAAGTAATCTCTTCTGTTAGATCAACCAATGAAAGCAAAACCAGAAAAAGGACATGCTTTCAACCAGACAAGTCTTCTCCTAGGTTTTAAACATTTTCTCTCAGAACTGGCTTATCTAGTTCACCAGGTCACCTACAGCAATCTCTTTAACCCTCCCACTCAAAATACTGTCATTCCTCATAGTACATTCGTATTTCTCGTTTCCTTGTCCTCCTCATACACCCAGACTCAGCTCCAATACCCAGAACACCCCTTTTACTTTCTCAAGTTTGTGCCTTGTTTCACCAAATTCTCCAGAAGCACTTTTGACCCACAAATTTAAAAGAACAGCACTGGCAGGCTACATATGCATTTAGTATTGTCTTTTGCCGTTTCCCTCCACTATCATCAGCTCCACTATTTGTTAATCTATTTATCATCACCGCTTTGTCTCATTTTAAGCCAGACTGAACATTTCTTGGGGGCTTCTCATTTTCCTTTGTTCTGCGGAAGCCTCTAACAAATATGTAATTTGTAACACTAGGAATAAAAATTGCTCATTTTAGCAGTCAAAGTTTTCATTCCTCTTTTTATCCCCTAGTGCAAGCAACAGTGCAGACCTCATCATTAATTAATTTCAGGGTTCAGAGACTTTAAAGGAAAAAACACAATTTTTATACTTTCCAGTTCTGACTCCCAAGTCCACATAAATCAAGAAGAGAGTTTGCTGCCGGTTCTCCTTAAAAAAAAAAAAAAACAAACACAAAAAGAAATCCCAAAAAACCCCAAAAGCCTTTCAAATATCTGTCACTGAAATCTGACCACAAAGTCCAAATCAGTGCTAAGTGTATGAATTATGAAAATTTTGCCATGAAAAGTTTCTTACTTGGATTGTAATTAAGAATACCCACCACATTTATAATATAAAGACACACCACAGACACAGACAATGAATCCTTTGGAAAACTGTCAAGGGGTGCATTTACAGCTCCACTTTGTGGTACTACTGCTACCGTCTTTGAATGGAGTTGCAGTTGAAATGCACCTCCCCTGATGTCTTTATATACAGTTTAAAGCTAATGGCATGTCCATACCTTCAGGGCGAGCTTTTGGTTTCTTCAGTCCTCCATCTTGCATCAGCTCAAAAGCAAAGGAAACATTATGAACCTGAAAGAGGTAAAGTGTTTAGAATTTCCAAGTTGTATAGTTATTAAAAACATTTAACCAAATTTTTAAAATGCTTTATTATCTCTGTGCTTGACATAGAGAATCATAATTCTATTTAAATTAATATTGAATATTTCTACATTCAACCATGACAGCAGGTACATACGAGAGACTAAAAAAGGAAAGCTTGTGTCATTACAGGGCAAATACTCAGTTTCATATGCAAAGGAAGTGACCTAATATTTCCAAATTTCAAGTGTAAAAATGTGACTCGGTATCACTTGAACTAGGAAATCCCATTAAGCCCCGATTTCAATCTCTATGGCAGAGACCAGAGAGCTCCCAGCAACAACTACAACAGAGCTGCATTTTGTTGAGTTCTTACAACCTGTGCCCAAGATCAACATTTCCAACTACAAGGCAAGAGATCACAGGGCAACAAGGAACGTAACAGAAGTGACATAACAAACAGAGTTGAGAAAACACACGTGGGTATGTAAGAAAGAAGTAAGGATGCTAAATGGAATTATTCTCAAGGAACGTTAGTCTTTTCTGCACTATTATCAGCTGCATAACAAGCAACATCAACATCACATCATCAACTGGCCTGGCTGCTTGTTGCATGACCTCATGCTAATCCCTTAGTCTCTTCGTGCTTTGGCTTCTTCCACTTGAAAATAGAGATAAAAGTCAAAGCAAATTTCTCCAACGAAGCAAATGTTTCGAAAAATGCTTGGCAGTGATAGTTCCTAGAAACTGTGCAACAAATATGCAAAACAAGCTAGGCACAGCTGTACAGAAAGAGCTTTCTGAATAAGCTACCAAGGATCATACATGAACATAAAGTCAGAGGGGACAAAATGGACAAAAAGGAAAAATGCAAGAATGTGGGTGTCTCCATCCAATCTCTCCTTTGAGGAGCAAATATTATGGTTTAAAAATATCTGAACAGCAGCTTTCTTGTCCACACTTACTCAAATTTAAGCCAAGTAATTTGGATTATGAATTCTGTGCATTTTTCTTACTGTAAATGACAGTTCCGGAGATACATAGCGAGGGAGGGAGTCTTAATTAAGCTACTCATCCCAAAAATCAGGGAGTTATACATACAAAGCTCCCCTACAACAAGGAAGAAAGGCCCCTTTCACTAGTGCTTATTTCTCAGGACTTTTATCTGCTACAGTTCCTCCTTACTCATTGCAACAAACCAAATCACTTTCAAGATAGAAACAGTTTTTCCTTTCCCCAAAAGGCAGAGTCTACGTCTCCTTCTCTGACTTACAACTCCCCTTTCCTCAAGACAAAGTCTCCATGCAAAACTACAACATTACTTCAGGGATATTGGATAATCTTTACTAATTTAAACTGTTTACAACAATATCAGAACCGAACAGGTGCTAGCTACAACTCAGCATCCTGCATTTCTACAAGGGCAAAAATTCAAGATACTAGGATAAAAAAAAGCAAGAGAAAGCTCTAAAGGAGAGCTTGTGTAAGATGTAAGAGATAACCATTTTCCCCCCTGCTCTATCAAGTTCCTGTGCAGTATACAAAATTCAAAATTAACTAATCCCCATCCTATCCACAAACTTAACACCTAACACTTAAGATGGGTTATTCTACCCTTGATGAAGTCCTGTCCCTCAGAGAACATGCACCTCTGAGGGGAGCTTCACTGCAACAAGCAGCACTTAAACAGCCCTCACCTTACAAAGTAGTCGACATTTTAAGTTTTACTAATGTTTCCACTCCTGACCTAGCCATCTACTGTTCCAGCTCAGCCAGCACAGTACTTGTACCCTCTTCACTGCAGAACGTGGCAGAATGAAAAGCAGAGGACAGATGCATTACTCTAGTACCACCAGGCTCAGAGTATTTTGATACCAGGCACCAAATATGTACAGAAGTATGTGCACGTTCAGGAACAATTACAGAAAGAGGCAAACGTTTGGTTATTATGATAAAATACATGTTAAGCACTCATCATCAACACTAGGAAGGACACAGGACAAGGGAGGAAGTGTGAGGCTAAGGGCAAGAGACTTATTTCACCTTCTTCCATCTCTAACACCCTGATTATGAGTAAGATAATCCAAGACTACAAAGAATCCACTCTTCTTCCTCAAAGCTCCTTTTGTCTGAGACACTGCTAGGCAGCAAGTCATTCACTCCTTACCAAACAGAAGGAAACATCCAATAAAGACAAACTAGCACATTCTCTTAAAACCTAAAGTCCACAACGCTGGCAATGATCCTGCCAGGAACTGGACACAGAACCAGCTGTCGGTACTTACAAATTGACTTCAGACAGGCAATATTTTTCTTGCTCCATCCCTGGCAGGATCAGGGCAACAACTTGGCTTTAGATCAGCTCCAAAACATGTTACCTGTGAGCACTCAACACACAGTTTCTAACTGCAGATCAAAGATCATGGCCCAGGTATCATCACTTTTACTACAGTATCTAATTTACATATCAAGTAATGATATTTACTTGGTTGGTTTGTAAGAATATTAAATAAAATACAGAAAAAGAACTCCCACCTCTCACCTGTTTGTCTTTCTTGCCTATTTACATAGGATATTCTAGGCGAAGCCAGGTATAAGCTCTGCTCTCTACCCCAAGAAGGCATCCCTGCACACAAATACACTTCAGGCAGTACTACATTTTAGTAAACCACTTTGATCATGCAAAGTACTATACAGTACAAAGCACTTATTACTGATTTATTCATTATGGATATTCATGAGCTTTATGTGTCGTTTGATGCTAGTAACAGTATACTGCTCTTCCTTAACTATGGGGATTTTACCTATTCATTTCACAAGCAACTTTTAGTGGTATTAACTATCAAGTGTCACAGCCAGTGCATCTTTGCTACAGCTCCTGAAGAGAAGAATATACCAGGTTCTGACGGACTGGGTACTAAGAGAAAGGACACAACAATTGGAAAATATAATGTAGTAACAAAGCAAAAAAAATATAACCTAAAGTTTCTACCCACCTTCTGATCAAAGCTTTCAGGTGTCAAGTAGAAGTTATGAAGTGGAACAAAATAGTCTTCAAGGAGACCCATGAGCAAAACCAAGTAAACACCATCTGCAAACTAAGCAGAAACACTGATGACATTCCTAGGCGAGAGCATCTGTTTTCAAATAAGCATTAATAAACAAGCAGAAAAAAGAATGCTTTGCCCAAATTAGGCTCTCAGATTTCTACCACTGCTGTTTGCTGGCACAGAAGTGTAAGATGGTTCAGGAGTCACAGACTGCTCCTTTCAGGCTCAGCGAGGAACTGACAGCAAGTGAAACGAGCACTTAGGGCTTTGTTTTGTCTGCTCCCTGGATATTCACCTCTTGCAACTACTAGTGCAGCTGAGCAGGCTCTTAAGAGCCTGTTCATACAGCTGCTTTCTTGTCAGTTCTCTAAAGAAAAGAAAAAAGTACGGGATACAAGGCTTTCTCCCTACATCTGGTAGCATTGTTTCCCCTACTCTCATTTCCTGAGCAGAACAAGGAAGCCCATCAGCTATTGCTATAGCATTAACCCATGCAAGATCATGTGCCAATGATTATTTAAATTACTTATGTAAATAGCTCTAAGCAGAAGAAATTAAAAACAATTCACCTGGGAGTGATCTACAATTTGTAATCCTTAGTTGTGCAGAGTATTTGGTCTGAATAGGCAGGGACTGAAAACAATATCTTCTTTATCTCCAGCCAGTTATCTATTTACTAGGCTACTGAATATTTTGGGATGAGGTTAAGAGTATGTATGTCTGTTCTTGCTTTTCCTCACATTCATTTTATTTGCTTGAGGAATACTGCCAAGTTCACCGCAGAATTTAGTAAAGTTTTTTTTTTATTTAAAAAAAACCACAAACAAAAACTTTGTGGGAAACATGATTGCATATTATATACTTCCAGTCCTATAACTACAGTACCTGGTCATTTCAACCACAATCCCTCTTTAAACATGTATGTTCGTCATTCAAATCTCAAATACCCTAAGCAATACTATTCAGTATTCTCACCTGACAGATCAACCACTTACTGGCTATCAGAGCAACGTTAACTCTTTCTAACAGACTTCTCACTTGTGATCCTGATACGGTGTATGCGATATCCTCTAACCTTTTCCAAAATAAATTGTTGGGTACTTCCAAGGCATTAAGCAATAATCCTTATGACAGGTCAAATCCAGTCACCCACTTATTTCAGCAAAGCTATAAAAAGTAGTGAATGACTGCTATTACCAATTACACATACTTCTGGTATAATTTCCTAGATGCTGTGCTTGTTTCTTTGCCGGGACAGTAAGATAACCATCTCTTCCCAGTTCAGTGAACTCTGGAAAGAATACCTGCTTCTACTTAGCCAGGCTCATGCCTGAAAATTGCTTAATTTTTATCTGTAAAGTGAGAACTACCCCAATGACACTAAAATTCACAGAATCACAGAATGTTCAGGGTTGGAAGGGATCTCAAAAGATCATCTAGTCCAGCCCCCCTGCCAGAGCAGGATCACCCAAAGTGGGCCACACAGGAACGCATCCAGGCGGGTTTTGATAGTCTCCAAAGAAGGAGACTCCAAAACCTCCCTGGGCAGCCTGTGCCAGGGCTCTGTCACCCTCACAGTGAAAAAGTTTTTCCCAATGTTTTTGTGGAACCTCCTGTGTTCCAGCTTGTACCCATTGCCCCTTGTCCTGTCATTGGACATCACTGAGATAAGCCTGGCTCCAGTCTCCTGACAATCACCCTTTACATATTTATAAATATTACATGAGGTCTTAAGGTTTTCAAGGCTACTCTATAACCAGCTCTGTGGTAGAGACAAGAAAACTCCTCAGAGCAGATGGTGGTGGTGGAGAGTCACCTCTGCTAGCATTAAACAAACCTAGATACCACTGGCAGTCAAGTCACTGTAGGTTAGGAGCTCCGAGCCATTAATCCACACTGCTGAGAAGCAAGCACAGTGCACATGCTCACAAGACAGCAGGCTAAAGAGAAGGATACGAAGGCCTTGCCTGCAACAACAAAATCTTTTCCAGCCTCACTTTGATGTGATCAAAGCTAACGCTGACATCTCTACAACGAACTGCACGCTGCAATCCACACTCCTCCCTGGAGTCCCAGACAGCCGGCTATTAAGAACCCCCACCAGTTCCTCGTGAACCCTCACAGCCAGAAAAAGTCATAACCCACCAAGCACCCATAAGTGCCCCAACTGCCTTGCAGTATCCACTTTGATCTGAGAGACAAGCTGTCCTGAAATCCAGTCACATTCTACAGTCATTAATACAACCCTATTAAATATCCAAGAATTTCACCTTGTAATACAAATCAACGGCAATAGGAAGTACGTGTAAACGCAAGTGGAGGAAGCAGCCATCAGTGAATGTCATCACTACTTAAAAAACAGCACTCATAAATTAACATGTCCAAAGATAAACAGTTTCACAACAGGGTTTTATGGAGCGAGGGCCTAGATTTGCAATTTACACAGATAACATATAGAAAAGAGTGTCCCCTACCTGGGTTTCTAACTCCGTTACTTCCAAATTCAGTTTATTCAAGTGCTTGTTCACAAAGGTGATCAAAGACTATAAAAGAAAATACCAGAATCAGTGATGTTAGACGCTACAGCGCCTATGTAAAAAGGTTAACATGATCTTTAAAGATATTTTTAAGCTTAATAAATATGCATGTGTGCTATTTGCTTTTGCATAAATAAGTACATAAAACTGAAAACAACTCGGCCACATAGTAATTTTTGTTGCACTATATGCCAGAAGTCACCAGATGGTGCTATTACACACGGCCTAGTAGCTATTTTCCCTATCACACCAAGCACACTTTAGTAAAGGGAAAAAGCTGTGATTACATTGGTTCTTCAGTCAGTTCTTTGTGAAGATGAAGAAAGCAGGAGGTGCATTTCCTGTCCACACTAATCTCTTGAGCTTCTTAGAGAAGATCCACTGCCTGGGAGCAAGGCATCACAGCACGAGCTAAGACACCCAAGAGAAGATGCCAAGAGTACAGTGCTCTGCACATACCTCTGCTCCTGGAGTGACATGTGCGCATCAATCAGCAAACTACACTCAGGACACAACCAAAGTCGGGCATTTCTATTCCTGGAGAACCCTGCCACTAAGAGCCAGATACGCGCTAATGTGCTGAAGCACAGAGATCTGCCAGCCTGCTTACACCACTTCCAAAAGGGACAGAGAGTTGGGTGATAACACTTCTATTGTGTGGACAGATTTAACTTAGTTCTGTATCAACTTTAGAAACACTCTTCTAGAAGACATTTCAGACTGGAAAGAGAAAATCTTCCAGAGGCTTCAGAGCACATCTATAAAAGCTTTATATTTAGCAAACTTATTCATGTGTGAATCACATTTCAGGGTATCATCCAATTGTAGAAGATCATCTCTAGTAAAAGAATGAGCTGAAAAATCAAGTAGCGAGTACCCCACTCATCCACCCGCAGCCCAGCCCCTCTTCACTGGAGGACAGCACCTGGGATATAAAAGCATGTACGATTGTCCAGTCAGAATGATCTGTACCACGACAAATACTTTGCAGAGTAGCTTTTCCTAACCTGCATCATTTGGATTGAATCTAGCAGCACCACCTAGAAAACGCTTAACAAATATAGAATTAGGAGTAATGAGAGTAATGAGACAAGCCTGACTGAAGCCAGCCACTCTATGTATCAACTGGCTTTGGAACAGTGATCTTTGCGGGGTAAACATCCTTTTCACTATTTCAGAATCCTCTCTTGTTCTTTCCCAGGTCTTTATAGGTATTTTTCCAAAAGCATAAGAAACAAAGCAATGTACAAAATAAAACACGACATTTACTTTCTTACCTTTTTGACTACGCTGAGCTTGTCTGGTGCATGATCAAAAAGTGTGTCAAAGGCATCACGCTCTGGTTTTAGAGAAAGACAGTAATAAAATGAACACACCTGCAACGGCTAAGTATGGGAAGACAGTGACATGCCCCAAGCTTAAAGATCCTCCTAGAAAGCCACATTAACAGAGAATGAAGCTAAAAGTTATCATCCTAACTAAATTCCAGAGTAAACTGTCCTGGGAATTTTAGAGGTAACTGAAAATAAACATGACATTCACTGATTTCCTTTTTCTGACATTCCTAACTGGTACACAAGATATGTAGGTGGAAGAAAAATTAAAACAAAACACAAATTTTTGCTATGCTCCAATCCTAAGTTCAACAATAAGCCAGTGAAACATCACCTGGTTTTGGTGCGGCTACAGTGATAGCTACAGTTGCATCCTCCACTCAGTGTCAAAATCAGGCATTAATTTGGTTCACTTAAAAATACTAGCAGTATCGCTGTCTTCAGTGAGGCTTAAAAATGAACATGAGTGAAATCTGATTCACCAGTGTATGAAGAGAAAGGCTTACACACAGCATGAAGATTCAAATCATGTTAAGACCTCCAAAGCATTGTATAATGATATCTAATCCAATCTAAAAATCTACTGAACTGACTAAAATGCAACATCTCATACTGTGGCAGCTTTGGGCTGACTTAAATTTTCCAAACACTGAGCTTTTTAGACAATAACTGTCCACATCAGGTAAAATAAGAAAAAAACTAGAAATCTAACTAATTGCAGTTGCATTAAAAAACCCACAACAGTATGACAAATGCTGGAAAAGTGTGCAAGTTTTTAAGCTGTTAGAATTTTCAACTTATTTTTTAACAGTTTTCTGAAGTTCAAATTTTTTTTATTTACAGAACAGATTTTAATTGTTTTCTATTGTTAAATAAGAAACATATTCATTATCCAAATTACTTTGGTATCTAAAGGTATATTATTTAGCCCCTACAGCCTCACAACATTACTCATTTCCCAATTACCTTATTAATGCTGATACTCTGCAAAATGGGAAATGACAGCATTCATATATTATAACTGGGGAATAACGAAACTAAATTACTTGTTCTTCCTCACATACAATCCTTTACAGGAGCCCACATCTATTCGGTAAGAAGTGACTTATTGTCACTAACAAAACTGAATGCAAAAAGAGACTCTCTTGGCAGCAACATCCAAAAAATTGGGGTTTTTTCAGAAGACCAGATCTATGGTTGGCAAGGTCTAAATTCAAATCAAGTGAACACAGAGGAGATAAAATACTCCATGCAAAGGAATTAGAGAGGGCTGTATGGCTGCTGAAAGTGGACAAATAAACAGCTTGCTTAGAGCTCATACTACACACCTTTGCTTCAGTAATTTCCATGTATTCATTTATATATAAATTAAATGGTTGCATTATGAAGGCGTAACTCTTTTTGCTGGGTGTTGCACAGATTTTTTACTTGAAAGACAGTAACTACTACTAGGAAATATAGTCCTGTGCAGCGTTTTTGCTATTCATTACTAACAAACCAACACAGACCAGTCTAAAGAGCACGAGCAGTATACTGGATGATCTGGTTCTACCCATCAAGCTCCACATCTGTGTGGAGTAAAAAAATCTGCCTCCACAATACATTCCAACCCCACAGAATTGTTCAATCTATTGTCTTGATCTGAAGGAAAACAGACAAGATTTCTGTGCCTGACATAAATTTTTAAAAAAATAAATAATCAGAGTCAACTTTGTTACTTACCAAATCTTCCCATCATCATCCTGCAAGTCAGAGCATTCAAAAATATTGAGTTAGTTCATGAACAATTTACTTTGAAACGAAAAGACCACGGGCTTAACGGGCCTTTTCCCACCAGATGCCGAGGGCGAACCACTCCTATCGAGTCAGGAGGCTGAGCACGTCGCAGACCTGACCCAACGTGCTGCTGCAGGAACGTCCCCAGCAGACCACCAGTGATGTCAGGGAGATACATTTTAAATGAGTGGAAATGCTCAATTATGTTTTACACGTAATTACAACTTCTTATGTGTAACTATTTCTATGACGAAGGGTGAATGAACAAATGTGCTTCTGAGTACAGTTTCCACAAATACAGCCAGATGCCGTATTTGTACAGATGCTTACACTACTCAGCTCAGAAGGAGCCAGGCTATCTATCTCACTTTAATCTGCAGAAAGAAAACATACATCATATCTGGATATTATGTAAATGAAACTGTCATATATGAATTATGTGCACTACCAGTGACATCACCAGACAGATACAGATGTTTATCAGCTGAGATTCAGGCCCTGATTTGCACAGAGGAATCTGAAAGTATTCAATGAATGTTGGATTCTGCTGACAGTCACATTTTCCATAGCTATGCTTATATCAGGGTATGCAACACGCTAACCAGCAAAACTCTTAATATTGTGTAATATTAAATAACTTAACAAAATACAAGTATAAACATACATGCAAATCTGCAAACATCTTTCTCGCTAAAAAATGCTAAACACCACTCCACAGATTGCATCTTACAAACCACATCTGAGGGAGAGGACAAGCTAACTACATTGTTCAAGAGCACACAAGTGAGGGGAGGAATTTTGGCCCACGAACCTGTGGCAGAGCTCTGATCCTACAAAAAACACTACGAGATCTTTAATGTCCACGCAGAGATGTTATGATCTCATTTTTGAGCGTTTCCATCTGAAGGATCTTCCCCACTGAGCTAGCCACATGGTACTTCATTTATCTTCAAAGTCGTGAAAATCTCAGCCAACTCTACGGGGAGCCAATACACAGATAAACTGAAGGAGAGCTCACGTAAGCCCCTCTTAGGAGAGTTGCCTTTAGGCCACGTGAAGGAAAAGCTCAGCTTTTATTTGCAGCCAAAGTGCATGCCTAGCTTTCTCCGTATAAAAAGGACTGTTAAAACATAAAGCAAAGTTGTAAAAAAATGGAGAGGGAAGAGGTTAATTTATTTAATTTATTTTTGCTGAGCTCTTCTCCTGAGGTATTACTGAAAACAGAGACCTTCTCACAATTTTAGCGGGGTATCACTTCAGTTTTGAGAGATATTTCAAAGAATTGCCTTTCTTCAGAATAATTCTTCCACAAAATATCTACACTGGCCCTTCACTTGAGAGAAGCAACAGCAGTGGGCAGAAATTAGTTATATATGGCTACCTCCAGGAGGAAGAAAGGAGGAAAAAAGGCCCACAAAGGTCACATTCAATGAATTGTTCAGTTAAAAGCTTCTGTAACTCAAGAACACCGAGATGACAATATTCTCCTTTGTATCATATTTCCAGAAACCGAATTATTTCTAAGTAAGTAAAAAAGCACCACATTAAGGGATTTTGTTAATTTAGCAGGGGCAAGATTAATCCTCTCTTTTGCCTTTGTAAATGGTCTCACATCAAGCACCACAGACACGCTCCAAAGCTAAAATGTTTTGTGCTTACTCCGTCGTAGTTGTCAGCTCCTCTGTAACATGAGTGGTCTGAAGGAGGCCTTCGCGTTTCTGGAAAGGAAGGTGGAGTTAGAAACTGAGACAACATCGGTAAAGGAGAAGATCATTAGGGGCTCTGCAGCACTCAGCACCTTTCAGGATCCCAGAGGAGAAAACTGCATAAAGCGTGCTCACTAAGTTTCGTGGAGGTGAAACAGCTGACACAGGAGGGTTCACTCACAGAACAGTGGCATTTGTCAGGCTGACAGCCAAATGGATGTTTAGGAAATTTTATATATATATATA